GGGAAGATGCCCACGTGGAATAGTCCTCTACCATTGCAGGTTTCCGGTTCACATTCATCGCTGTCGGTGGGTTGGTGATGCTGTCAACTCGCCGGTCGATGAATGACAACCGTGTCCATGCATTGCCACGCTTCCTGAAGCGCTATCTTGATCATCTGTGTTTGCATCTGTCCAGTAAACAGGTTGTCTGTGAAATAATTGTGCTTTTTCTGATAGGAACTGTATTATCAAAGAGATAAAGACATAAATAAAGATGTTGGATCATCATCAAATTGCAGTGTACTGTGTGTTATGAACCAATTTAACATCTGTAATTTATATATCAAAGCTATTGAAGAGGAATAGAGAAATGTGTGAGAATCAGAACAGTGCTCACAAGCAGTGAAAAAATGTGATAACCAGAGGCTGGAGAGAAAAAACCCAGTAAAACCTGACAGAAAAGAAGTGATACAAGGAGACAGTGGAGGAGGGAGAGATGGTTGGTGGAGGAAAAAAAAAGAAAAACACATTAGGAGAACCGGATGATTGGAGATGACATAAGGCAACATGACTCCAAGTTGTGGATGTTTGTGTGTGTGTGAGTGTATTGCCTCTAGGCTCTGTAACAAGGTCACTGAGTTAGTTGCCTTTACACGCTACATGTGAAGCCACTATTCAACAACAAAGGAAGAACTGCCCAGCACCATGAACCTGAGTCAGGATCAGAAGAGTGGGCAAGTGTAAGACATTAGTCCTGGTTAACTAGTGCAGAGCTGTAACACACTGACATGATGAAATGTATGGAAGCCCATTTCTGCCAATGTGACAAAAAAGAAAAAGATTCTGAAAGTCATTATAATGACAAACTTTGACAAAAATTTGACTTAGAATCTCAAAATAATGAGAAACTTATCAATATTTTGAATTTGTATTGACTTAGTATCACAAAGTCATTATTTTGAGAATATTCACTTTGGTGGAAATAGGCTTCTAAAAAAATAAATAAAAATATTACTTATCTATTCTCATATTCTGTCTCACTGAAATGTTGCTTTTTGTGATTATGGTAGATGTAACGTTTGTAAATCCAGATTTAGCCAAATTATCATGTAAATTTTAACTAAGTGGTGATTTAGGCATCCCTATATTAAAAAAGGGTTACACAACCAGTGTTGCATAACAGATTACTGTCATAACATTACATTTGTCGGTAACATAGTAATGTAACATGTTGCTGTTCCTAAATTCAATAATCACATTACAGTTATTAATCAAACAATTATGTTGTTACTTGTGTCTTGTCTTTTTAAGAAATCGTTTTCCAGGAGTTTTTTTTTGATAATACACATATACAATATATACATGACAATACAATAGTTTGACAGCATCATTTATGGGCCACCGTGTTAGCTCAGTATTGTGGCGTGCTTAGCTGTTCTCACCACGGCTGATTTTTCCACTTTGTGTATAGACCTTTTTCACAGGCTCTATTCTGTTTAGTGTAGCAGAGCATTTCCAATGAGCCAACACACCCCCTCCCTTTGTTTGACCTGTATGCAATGTAACCTTACGTAGTATCATTGGTAACACATGAAATAGTAAGGTAAACACATTGTGTTTACCTTACTATTTCATGGCAAAATGGCTGCAGTGAAAAAGGTCTATTGATAACAGCTTTCCTTCAGCCGTAACAATAGTTTGGCCACAGCACAGGTTACAATGCAATTAACATTTTCCAGCACAGCAGTGGTTATTTCCTGGATATTTGGTCATTTCAACCAATTTCCAGCTGTTTCCATGACTGGAAAAGTAGTTTCTAAATGTCCGGGTTTTCCAGGATGCATGGAACCCTGATCTTCTTAATGGGAAAAGAAAAAATCCAACCTGCCTTTTCATACACAATTGCACATTCACCTTTGCTTTCAACAAACAGGGCTCAGCTTGTTTCAGCTCCGACAATGAAGTCATATTTGAATATTTCAAAAGTCAGAGATGGAGATCCTGAACCGTTTTCTAACAATATCCATAAAATTCAACACAGCGACAGCATCTACTGCACCCGTGGAAAGGCTCTTCAGTCTGGTGCTTACTCTGAGGAGGAACAGGTTGTCTGATGAACAATTTGAGAGACTCCTCCTCCTTGAGGTGTAACCACTGCTTTATTGATGAATTGATTGATTGAAGCACGTCAAATAAGCTGGAGCAATCTAATAAAGCCATAGTTTGGTGATTGAGCGACTCAAGTGAGTTTGTTTGTTAGCTCATTAAATGCAGTTCATTTTATGTAATCTCAGGCAATGTTGCAAAGTGCCACAGAAATAGGGCTGTGTACCAGGGTTATGATTCAATATACTGTGATATATATCGTTATATTTAATTAAAACAAAATCCAATTTTAGGAAAGCTGTCATACTATACAGAACATACCACCATATGAATAATAACTCTGCTATCTAGTGGTTGGGGGTTTGACCACAAAAAATTATCACAAAATAAAATATCGGAATACAATATTTTATGATATTTTCTTAAGTAATGTAAGTATTGCAATAGATTCATTCTACAGGTGGTACACAAGTAAAATCATTTTTTGAGTAACAACCTCTACACTGTGCATGACATGGACTGGTTCTTATGTAGAGACTAGTTGGGGCGGCAGTAGAGCAGTGTGTAGGGAGTTGCTCTGGGAACCAGAGGGTTGCTGGTTCAAGTCCCACAAAATATGGAGTGTGGACTGATAGTTGGAGAGGTGCCAGTTTCAAGGGCAAGGTAACCTAAGCCCCAAAACCTGCTCATGGGGCACCGGTAACGTTGCAGCCACTCCACCATCTCTCTCCCCCGTGCATGAAGTGTGCATGAAGTGT